TAAATAGCACATTTTATCTCTGAAGCAGACGACTTCTCAAAAATTGTAGACCAGTGTAATCAGTCAAGTTTTTATATTTGTAGTACCTGTTCTTAGGAATTTTATTTTTATTTGTAATATGTGACTTGTGACTGGTGGTTTTTTTTTTTTTTTTTTGTGCATCAGTTGAGAAGTTTCAAACTGGATTTTAGCTTGTGAAAATCCTGTTATACATACACAAAACACAACATATATTTCAATATTAAAATAGGTGGGTTTTTTTCAAATAAGCCTAAATGTTACCCAGATCTTGCAATCCTTACCCTGGTTCTGATTGAGTCCCCTGGGCACTACTATGATATAAATAGCAGTGGGCCATGGAATTGCTTGCTGAAAAATCCTCCCGGTAGAAAGACCAGAAAAAAAAAATCTCTTTCTGCTCCAAACATATTGATAGATAGCATGATTTTATAGCCAGGTGCTACATTCATTCTAATTCAATTATCCTCTGACAGCATGTGTCAATAAATAAACAGGATGGCAGAAAATCACTGAAACTGAAGGAAGTGGAGGGGACTGTCTTTTAGATCGTGTTTCAGTTTTAACTTTTTAAAGTAATTTTTAGGAGCTTCCCAGATATTTTTTTGGAGGTAATATGGATGTTCTTTAAAAGGGGTCTGTGACAGGCCTTTGGCCCTGTTAAGTTCAAGATGATCAGCACACCTGTCCCTCCCTAGCTGGTCCTCTTGCTCAGGTGAAGAGAGGCTTTTCTGCTATTCACAACTGTAGTAAAATAGTTTGCTATATGAAAGAAGGAATAGTAACCAGTGCCGTTCAGATTTCATGAGCACTTTCCCTCTAGCCCTCTGGTTTCAATTGCTCATGCCTTTCTGAAATATTTGCCATTGGGGCTGACATTTGTCAGGCTTTGGGTATCTGCCTGAAGGTGATTTGTTTTTGAAAAGAAATGGATTGGCAATTCTGAGTATGAAGACAGTGAATATAATATACTCTTCCTATTATAAAGTAAGTCTTACAACCTTTTTTGAACAGCTCCTCAACAAAAAAGTTAATTTTGGGTAAAAAGTTCAATTTGGGCATAAAAATGACCCTTTTTTCAAAGAAATGCCTCTGTGTATTCAGATGAACATTAGTTTGGATTTGGCCAAGTTAGAACTGCTTGAAAATTGCACTCTGAGTCAGACATGGTGCATTGTTCTTAAAAAAAAATATTATTGCGGATTTTATTGTTGTTTTCTTCCTGCTACGTTCATGAAACGTGCAGCTATGGAAGGCCGTATGTCAAACACGTGTGGAAACCCAACTACGCACTGACAAGTGTAATTGGAGAGTGCAGGAGCTGAGGCCAGGACTCCATAAGATGAAAAAGTGTTAGTGGGAGCTGCAGCCCACTTTGTAGGAAGAATCCCCAGTCTGGGCTCCAGAACCTCATTATGACATCTGGCCATGTAGTTCCAGGTCTTGGAATTGACACGTGATATCAAATAATTTCAAATCTGCAGTGATTCAAATTCCTGGGAAGTGATGATCCTCTTCTCCCCTTACCCCTACCTGCTTTCCACTTGAAAAAACAAAAACAAACAAAGAAAACCCCCATCCTATGTTAAGAGAAGGTAAAGGTTGCAAGGATAAACACTCAAAAAGAAGGAAAATTCACATTTGAAGCTGCATATATAACCTTTACTGATTCTGTTCTGTGTTGGCATTGCTGTACCGTCTTTAATTACACAATCGTGTCATACTTCTCAGATAATATAGTTCGATGTGTTACAGTTTCTTTCTTGACAATCTTGGATTCAACCTTCTCTCTCTTTTGATGGCGTTAGTTCATAGCTGGGCAGTGAACATGCTTGAGTTTTTCGGGGGAGGAGCCTGATTATGCAATGGAACTGTTGTTTGTATCACTGTAGTAGCTAGGAGCCCTGGGCATGGACCAAGACACCAGGTGCTGAACAAAAAGATGGTCTGTGTCCCAAAGAACTTACACTCTACCTATAAGATAAGAGACAACAGATGATAAAACATAGACAGATGGGGGAGTACAAGGAAAAAATGAAATAATATTGATCAGCATAGCCTCGGCACACCAGCAGCCTAACTGTTGTCTAATTTTTTGTAGGCATCAGGGAGAAGAGTTCTTTAAGGGGGATGTTGAAGGATAATGAGGTAGTTTTGGGGACTTTCATGGGGAGCTCCTCAGAAGTGTTAGTGGGTAGCATGGGAGAAAGAATGAAGGTGCTTGTTTGCAAATTTAACGTGGGCAACAAAAGCTGCATCATGGGCTGACCAAAGGCAGTGGTCGACATCTTGATAGTGAATGAGAGGTGATAGATAGGGTGGGGATAGGCTGTGAAAGGGCTTGAAAGCAGAGGCCTCATCTATAGTAGGAATTTATATTGCTATATTTATGTCTCTCAGGTGTGAAAAATCCATACCCCTGAGAGATGTAGCTATTCCAACCTAACCCCTGATGGAAGAATTTTTCCGTCAGCTTAGCTACTGTCTCCTGCAGAGATGGAATACCTATGCTGATGGGAGAAGCCCTCCTGTCGGTGTAGGTAGTGTGCAAGCACCACAGATTTATAAGTGTAGACAACCCAAAGAGAAGTAGCTTATGTTGGATGAGATAGAGAAGGGATTTGTATATTCTTTAAAAAAAATAAACACAAATGGTAAAATCTTCAAAAATCACCTCAGTTTTTGCACCTTCAAATTGTGTATACAAACAATTTCTGGGTGTATGGTCAGTTGTGTTTCTGTATACCTAATTTGTTGGTGCAATAAGTTAGATATCTAAATTACGTTATCAGAACCCATAAAATTGCAGGTGCAAAATTCCACTTCCAGTTATTTGAATTCCCAAATGCGGCAGACACAAAAAGAGAGGTTCTTGAATTTTACAGCCAATACTGAATCCTGCATGCTTGGAACTGCAGACAGTTGCATATTATTACTACCAGTGCCTAGAAATACCAATAGCTTCCTAAATTATGATTCACTCAAAATGTTCTTAGTCTTATGCCAAAAACTGGCACAGAAGTAACACAGAAATAGATGTTCCATGTTCTAGACAGAGAATTTTGGGCCAGAATTCCTAGAGCTGTATCAATCCTACCAATCTCATTTTGAACAGCATAGGAAAATACAGCTCGAATAGTACATCTTTACAAGTGATGTTTTCTCACAAATCAGTTTCGCTTCAGGCCAAAACCATAGTCCCCAGACAACATAGATCAATTTGACTAACAAAACTTTTGTTGAATTTGATAAATGTGAGAAATGTAGCACAATGGCTATAGATTTTTTTTAAAGGCTTTTGATACTGTGAATCACACCATTCTATCAAATAAACTGTCACTGCAGGGCAGTCATGGGCATTATTTATGCTGGCTGAGGTCTTATCTGTCTAGCGGGAAACAGACTGTAATATCAAACATTCCCGTATCAGGTGTTGCAACGGTGAGGAATACCAGAGCACCACTAGGAATGTGAGAAATACTCCAAATATAATTTAGGTAGGCAGTGAACTATCCTGGTCTCTACTTATTTGCTCACAGATTCTATAGGCACCTTATTGACATTTTATAGGCACAATAATGTCTCTTTCTGGTTTGTTGGCTTTATCTGGCATTAGGTAGATATCATCGCTAAGCATTAACATTGGATCTGTAATCAGAAAACCATGCATCTTTAGAAACATGCTACAATGTGTCATGATGTTCTGTTGCTCATGCTGTTGCTCGTTATTCTGTATAGCATCTGATTTATAATAGATTTTTAAAACCCCGCTGTTAATATACACCTTCCATTTTTATGAGAGAATACTGAAGAGCCCTGAGCTGATTAAACAGTATTGAAAAGATATAGACAAATTGTGTAGTGTTGAGCACAGAACAACAAAAATGATTAGTGGCTAGAGGAGATTACATAGGAGAATATTATAAGTGCTATGTATAACCAGATGAAGCAATGGCTAATGGGGACATAACTGCCTACATCAGAATGGTATAAACACGAAGGCTGAAAAAAGCATTAGGCTGCTGTAACTTACATTGTGGCAGATGGGAATAGCCAAAGGGAGCAGGAGTGTTGTAAGCAAGACACGAGAAGTAATTCTTCCACTCTACTCCGTGCTGTTTAGGCCTCAACTGGAGTATTGTGTCCAGATCTGGGTGCCACATTTCAGGAAGGATGTGGACAAATTGGAGAGAATCCAGAGAAGAATGACAAAATGATTAAAGGTCTAGAAAACATGACCTATGAGGGAAGATTGAAAAAATTGGGTTTGTTTAGTTTGGAAAAGAGAAGACTGAGAGGGGACATGATAACAGTTTTCAAGTATGTGAAAGGTTGTTACAAGGAGGAGGAAGAAAAAATGTTCTCCTTAACCTCTGAGGATAGGACAAGAAGCAATGGGTTTAAATTGCAGCATTTAGGACATTAGGAAAAACTTCCTAACTGTCAGGGTGATTAAGCACTGGAATAAATAGCCTAGAGAGGTTGTGGAATCTCCATCATTGGAGATTTTTAAGAGCAGGTTAGACAAACACCAGTCAGGGATGGTCTAGATAATACTTAGTCCTGCCACGAGTGCAGGGGACTACTAGATGACCTCTTGAGGTCCCTTCCAGTTCTATGATTCTGTGCTCTCTCCCATTAGCTGCTGTCACAAGTAATGAGCCCGCTGGTGGGTGAGTACAGAGATACTTTAAGCCTTGGGAGGGCAAGTGGGTAACTGTGGTACCAGAGTTGAATCACTGGCAGTGGTGACCAGGGCATACCTTGGTAGAAAAACCCCAAAGGGAGAAACAAGACCAAAAACTTTTCTTTAGTTCTGTTTTTAAAAAAACAACTACTAACTATCCTAAGAACTAGACTGTGTGTGTGTGTACACTAAATGTAGTGTATACACACACAAAGGCTGAGAGAAGAAATGCTCTGGTATAAAATAACAACAATAGCGGGTGGTCAGAAGGAAGTGAGAGGGGCTGGGACAGCTCTGCCTTTATATCTGCATGTAGTGGCACATGGTAGCGGGCAGCTTAAGCTGCCCAGTGGGTATCACTGACAGAAAAAGTTTCTGATGGTCATGCACTGGGCACACAGACGCCGAGAATGGAATATACATATGCAATCACTCAAAGAATAAACAACATTTCTTCTTTCCTGACACATAGACTGATTTAATTTCATTCCTGGTAGCTGTCTAATTAATAACACTAGCACAGAGCACAATATTCATTCTGAACAGTTTGCACTAATTGTTTCAAACTTGTGCTGAGATGAACAGGAAGAGTTTATATTTTGCATGCATGGGACCTGCAGGAAGGTGAGTCATTTGTACTACAAACACCTGTATCTAATGAGATGGATGATTATTGCAATACATTATTTGTGAAAGTGCTTTGTGTCTTTTGTTTACATAATTTTGCTAATGTGAATTCCCCAATTGTCTGATCGTTCAGTTAATCTATCATAGGACTAGAATTAGAATAACTGCACTATTGCTACAGAGTTCTCCAGGTAGGGCAACGAATGCAGATTATTTCTATCACACAAACATAAAATATATAACTTTGTTTTAGGGTTAACATATACAGATGCTCTAACATAGCTACGGTATTTGCATGAGAAACAGATAGTTTTAATATAGTTGGCAGTTATCATGTACATTTGTTCTAACATAGCTACAGCATTTGCATGATTAACAGATGATCTTACTTTACAGCACTGATATTCAGCATATCCTTCCTCACACCTTGACATCATGGGTCCATACACTTTTTCCTTAGCAACCCCCAACTCTCTTTAGGTTTTCCCAAAATTTTGTGGACATTGTCCACGTTTCAGACAAATTGTACTGACCACATAGCTCCAAACAGGGCCGGCTCCAGGCACCAGGGGCGGCAGCTTGTAGTAGGCGGCATTCCGCCCAATCCTAGGGTGGCACGGCCGCTTTTTTTTTTTTTTCTACGCTCCGGGCGCCCTGTAGGGGGTGGCGGCACACAGGAGTGGAGCGCCCTGCAGCAAGCCTGGCAGGCCAGCCCGCATCCTTCCCTCCCAGCCACAGGAGTGGTGTGGAGCCCCCCCAGCAGGGGCAGCGCCCCGCTGAAGCCCTGGCCGTCCCCCTTCTCTCTCTCCCCCCGCTCCCTCCCCGTCCCTGGGGCACATCTGCAGTGCAGGGAGTCCCCCTGCACACCCAGGATCCAGCCGCGCCACTATTTTTTTTTTTTTTTTTTTGCTTTTGCTTGGTTTTTTTTTTTCCTTGGGGCGGCCAAAAAGCCAGAGCTGGCCCTGACTCCAAAAAGACCATTTCTAAGAATTAGGTAGTAGTGGTCCAATATGTTCTCCTTTTGATTGTTAGTTGCAGACCTGCACATTAAGATATCTCCCTCTACTGGACAATTGTACAAATTCATTGGGCTTTCTCCCCTTACTAAAATAATTTGCATACTAACCTAACCCTTAGATATCAAGTGAAGGGTTTACTTTTAATTATTCTAAATTCATGAGCCAGTTGTCGTACAGCATTAGCCACGGTTGTGACTCTTTGTTGTAAATGATTGTTACTTGAGTCTGTAGATTCACAAAGAATCACATCATGATGGTAATACAATTTTTGTAAGAGTAGTGCTGGGTGATGCTCCACATCAGCAGAAGTGGTTATTCCTTCTCTCACAGAAAGAGAGGTATGAACAGTCTCAGGTCATTCTTCCCATGCTTACACTGAAATGGGATGGAGTAACAGACACCTAGTAAGAACAGAAGGAACACTTAAGAAGATGAAGAATATCCAGGATGATATATTGATTCACAACATAAATGTCTTAACTCATTTCTCCTGTTTGTAATATTAATGCTACATGGAAGCAGCAGTTGGCTAAGAGAAACTGAGGCACTTCATTGCTGGAAAACTGGAAATTCAGAATGATGATACCTCATCAAATGTGTCATAAAATCCTGAATGCAAAAGGAGAATAAAAAAGGAAAGAAACTTCCACAAAATCCTCTGTTTTAAAGCACAGATGTGCACATTAAAACCATCAAATACAAAGACCAGGATCACAAATACAACTTTTTCCAATCAGAGAAATAGAAATTGATATGATGTACCCACTTCTTCCAAATCTTCTAGAGATAGATGACAGCTCCCCATGTTTCCTGCCATAGGCCTTGCAGGAAAATTTCTTCCTAACTACAAATCTGTGTCCAGATTATGCTTGCATATGATCTCCCCTGCTCTGAAGAGGATGGGGGTCCAGATCAGACACCTTCTCGCAAGGATACCGTCCACTCCCTCTGATTCCTGCATCCCTTGCAGGTGGCAGTCTGTGGGATTGGCAGCAAGTGCAGGATGTGTTGTCTCCCCCACTAGCTCCACATAACTTACCCTCTCTGGAGTGGCATTACCTTTTCTTAGTATCTCCTTTTTTATGGATCTCCTCCATGTTGGGGGAACCCCTACACTTTCAGGGAGACATAAGGGAGTAGCCATTGCCATGAGTATCAATTGGACCAAAAGCCCATAGTGTGGTCCAGAGCACAGATCTTGGGTGGGGGAGGGGTCTTCTAGTTCCTCAGATCAGCTCCCTGGCTTACTTACCACTCACAATGTTTGGGAGAGAAATTTCATGAGGAACTGGTCTTGTTGAGTCCCTCACCCCATGCCTCTGTACATCGAAAGCTACTTTTCAATACTTTCTCCATAGGAGGGGATGCTCCTTGCCTCAGAAATCAGTATTAAACATTAAGCATATGCAGGCATACGATCAGCAGTTTGCCTATCATGTAATGAACAACAAGTATGTGCCCAATTTCATAGCGGAAAAAAATAGCCTTGTCAAGTCCATGCAGACTGCGGAGAAACTCAAAAGTTTGCATCAGTTGTTTCCAGAAATAGATTTTGAAATTCATGAATTTCAAAGGATGGAAAATTACTTGGACACTAACAGTATTTCAGGATAAAAAGGAGGTGATGGCCACAGTTTTCAGAAGAGATTTATCATGGGGTAGGGGGAAAGAATGTCTAAGTTTTTGGATGGCTGGCTTGATTCCTCCAGTGCCTGACTTCCAGAAGTGCTGATTACTGATAGCTGGAGCCGCGGGAAGAGAAGCTGAATATTTAAAGAAAGGCAAATGTGGGAAGGGGTGGAACGAGTCAAGATCTGTGTAAAGAGGATAATTCCAGCACAATAGAATAAAAATGGTATAAAACTGATGCAAGAGAAAGGGGAAACCAGGACTAGATGTGTTAGGATGAATTAGCGAATATAGTTTTCCATTGCAAATATACAGCTATCCCAATTTAAACTCATGTGCTGCTTCTCTGTAAACCCAGGCTTGCAGAAAATGGATTGTAGACTACCAAGAGGAGCAGTGCAGGGATGAGCTCTTACCCACTGCCCCCCTCACTTTTCCTGCCACATTCACATCCATAGGGCATGAACATCAGGTCTATTTAAATGCTAACACTACTAAATAGGAAGGTATTGTTTTAAAAGCAATCAAGAATGTAAATACAAAAACCAATGGGCAAAACTGCCTCTGTGTCATTGTCCTCCAATTCCATGGAATGCCTCTGTGGGCGTGGGCTCTATGGGTGGAGATGGTACATGGCAATGTAACAGGTTCTCTTTGTGGCATTCTCCTCCCACCAACCCAAGAGGGGATTTCCTTAGTAATCCACTTCTGACTTCTTTATTCTCACAGCAACATGAATACGCTGACGGCAAGGGTGTTCTAGGGGAAGTCACTGGTAGAGTTGTCCCTCAAAGCACAGGAACAGGGAAAGCCAGGAGGCACTGCAGAGACACAGGACCTTCATGTGATGACTCTGACATGCCCTAAAGTCTGTGTGGTTCCAAGCAGTCTTTGCACTAAAGGGCATGTAGGGCAGCAAGCTTTGAATGCATGAAGGAACAATACAGTCTTTGGAAGAAGTAATAGACATACTAACTGACCATTTTTTCCTTAAACTGATGCAGAGGAAGATTTCAAAATTGAAACTAAAGAGGCCTGGTATCCGTGCTAAAAATGTTTGTGTAGATTCTTGCTGTTAGTTTTTCTAATCAGGCTTAAAAGTAGAAAGAACAGGAAATGTGGGTTGTTGTTTTTTCCCGGAAGCCATCATTATTTTGTCACCTGGCTACATTGTGAGTCACCAGGAAACCTGGAGACAGGCTC